AAAAACGGGAATGAAAAAGAACTGGAAATAAGGAAAAGTACTTGAAGGACGGAGTAGCTCTGAAAACTGCATTATACTTAACACTCTGAAGAATGCAGCCAGATATAATGCCATCCTGAGAGAGTCCCATGACCTAACACCAATCTCTAACTCATGAGCACAATGCAGGGCTGCAGGGCATAAGTGGAGGAAATTCCAAAGGGCCCCACCAGTGTGAGTTCTGGGGTCATGGGCAAAAAAGAATAAGAAGCACTCCCCCTGGGAGCCCATCGTCGATTGCTAAGGGATGATGTGTTGCAATAGATACGCCTTGCCAAGCACACCATATCTTCTCTGTCATTGTTTCCTATCACTTTGGGGCCGTGTCTAGAGGCAACGTTGCTCTTGCAGAGAGAGTCACAGCTGCTTACTTCCTGATTCGGGTCATGGGAAAGGCCTTTCCTCCCTTCGCAAAATGACTCCGTTTTTGCAAAATAAAGCCACAGTTATCGATGAGCTAAAGTCCAGTCCTCCTCAAAATCTGCCACTAGGTTGCCTGTCTTAGTCTTTCATGGCATCAGGAAATGCCCTTCACTCCCCAATTTTGTCCGGGTCTTCATGGGTGATTTAGGCAGAGGTTCTAATCATGAGTGACTGCACTGGAGGCCACTGTGGGCCAGAGACGGTCATGTAACAACTTGTCCACCCACGATGACAAAAATTCCCCAGAGCATATGTAATCATGGAACATGGTCCCCGTGTCAACAGTCATCTGCAGAGGCCAACGCTGACTCCAACGCTGGGGCTGCTCACAATATTGTTGGAATCCTTCCGATTGCCTCAGAGCCTGCGGCCCATTTTGGGGGGTATTCTGAGTCCACAATTAGAATCCTTTTCAGATTGCATTCGATTTTTGGAAATAGGTAGAAGCCATTTGCCACATACTCCAGTTTATAAAAGTCCAACTGGCTCAGTTTTAATGATACATATTTTATATACACGTATAATGTTTTCACCATACACTGACAAAGACAGAGAAAACTGTGAGGTAATATTGACATTCTTTCGTAGCTCATAAACACATTCCAAAGGCAATCCACAAGGGACTTTTAAAGATTTCTTTAAACACTAGTAACATCACTGAAATAAATGTTCAACCTTTCAGAATAACTACTTAGAAGGAGAAATATAATTTCGATGAATATCTAATATGGTGTTTTTTTTTGTTGGGGGGGGGGTAGTCTCATTAGAGTTACAACTTGTGTATCAGCTGTAACTCCTGTACCCCTACCTACCTCCTGTACCCCTTCAATACTCACCCAATCCAATGCACCAACTCCTTCATTTTTACTTTGGTAATGTCTCCTTGACATTTGGACCTTCCTCTCTAGTCCCTGGATTGCAATCATTAATGTCTCTCTTTTTGAAATGTCTTGCCTTGGTTCACATTCTTATGTTCCCTCTCCCATCACTAGAACTTTCCTCCTAGTCTTCTCCACCTGACAAAACCCTAATAATCCTTCACAGTCCAGCTCAAACTCCCCCTGAGGAGCCTTGGCTGGCCTCCTGCTCTTCGTCCTTCTGCTCGTCACTGAACCACGGTGTAGTGTAGAAACTCCATCACCGAAGGCGATCAGTAAGCTACTTGCTGGGTGTTGTGAAATGAAGCCTGCACTGATTTCTCAATCACGGGGTAAGTTCAGGGTCAAAACAAGAGCAAATGACATCAGTTCATATCAGTTTGGCAAGAGTTCCATTTGCTCAGAAGGAATGCTACATGAACACCGGACGGGACAGAACTCGACAATTCCAGTCTCTTTCCTCTGAAAATGTATTAAGAAGCTTCCTGGGGACACTCAAAGGACAGGGCACACAGCAAGACCTCCTTCAGGTTTAAACAATATGACTCGGAGAGAAATGATCAATGGGGAGCCATCCATGAGACAGAGTAGTGTTAGGCAAGAAAATAAAAAAGTGCTACCTGGGTGTAGAGGAGGAAGACACACGCTGTGTTGAGCTAGGATGGAAATCACCCCTAGCCTTTAGATAGTGAAAACTGTAGGCAGCTGTCTGATGTCCACCTGGCTTCCTACTCCGATGTTCCCACAGAGAACACTTGTTGCTCCATTTTTGCTGGTGTGAGAAAATTCAAACACAGGTATGACCGCCAGAGAAGAACATCAGCAGACTTGTTGTGAATTGTCTGATCATTTTCCCCCTTGCAGGAGGATCTTACAGCTTTTCCTTTAGATGTGTAAGGCTTGTACGTAGTAAACGTATTAACTCTTTGTTAACCATATTGATTGCAAACAAGTTTCCCCCCAAATGGTTAGATAGTTATTCCCATACTTCCCTAATAACCATCATCCCCACTAATTTGAAATTGTCACCAAGGCTTGATAGTTAGCAGGGAGTATATGCACTTCTCCAAATGACAGACAGGCAGGCCCCTAAAGATGGGATCAAGGTTGGGCCCAGAGCAACTCCCAGACAATTGGACAATGACATTCAGGAAACTAGTAGTTTAAAAAAAATAAGCCAACCAATCAGCAAGATTTTTCCTGAGAATAATTTTTTAAAAATAATAATCTACACACTTTGGACTTAGAGTTTGTGATATAGATATTGAGTTTGGAACATTTCCAAAATTCAATGTAATGCAGAGTAACTTAAGCGATGATTTCTCTTTCTGTGCATCAAATCCTATCCCTTTGTGGTAGGGATGGTTTAAAAAGCGTCCCTTTCACTCTAAGCATTCAGTCCAAACCTTATAAAAATAGATGTAAGTGACTCGGATGACCTATCACCACCCTTAGAATGGGGTTCCTGAGGAGCTGCCTCAGAATTAGACGGGAATCCACCGAGATCCGAGAATTATGGACCTTCTCAGTTTAAACACTTGAAAATTCAGCGTAGCTCGGCATCCTCCCCTTTGGACTCGATTGAGTCTCAGGCTCTCATTTCGCTTAGAAAGTATCTGCTCAAAATAGGTTCTTTTTCCTGTTGTTCAGGTCAAACAATTGATTTTCCCTTCCATTTATCAGAAGGTAGCATGATGCCTGACCAAGCAAGCAAGTTTGCAAAGCAGAAATCATGTAGCGAAAAAGGTAAGTCCATTTGGAAACTTTATCAGAGTTTGCAAAAATGCAGGCTAATGCACGGCAGCAGACTAGAGGTAGTAGCAACCGCATGTTCTTGGGAAACTGGTGAACACATCCCCAAGAAAAATGTTAAGATTTTGAGGGGGAACGTAACCAAATAATTATTTAGTGTATGTACTATAAATATATGTACATGAATAAATATACAATAAAAGCTGAGAACACTCTGAGAATTAACTGAAGAAGAGTGGTAGCTTTGGCTTGGTATATAAAAAAAAAGTATTTCACAATTACAGCATGTGGTATTGGCACAGAAATGGATCAGTAGAACAGAAAAGGAAGTTCAGAAATAGACTTTAGGATATAATTTAGTATGATCCAAATCACTAGGGGAAAAACTAACAATCAATGACTATTAACAGGACAACTGGCTAAACCATTTAGCAACAATTAAAAAAATATATATTCCCCCAACCCCATTCCTTATACTTAAATAAATTTCAGATGTTAAGTATTTTATTTTTAACTGCTGCATTATATTTCTTACCTTGAGATTGGAAGTTCTGAGCATGGCACCAAAGGCAAAATACATAGGAAAAAGACTGATAAATTTGACTAGACAAATTTAAAGTTTTTATGTGGCAATTTATAACACAAACAAGGTCAAGGGAAATGATAAACTAAGAAAATTTGTTTACAAAACACAGGGTGTCCCAAAATATATAAATATACACTTTGAATAATTATTAATTCCAATGAGCTAAATCTGAAAGAAAGAAACATCAATTGAGCTATCAGTTGTTGAAGTGTATATACATTTTTTGGGAGCCCCTGTATATGACAGCTAAGAGTGAAAATTACTATGATACAAAGGGCTTTTTTAAACCAATAAAAGACAAACATGCCAAGTACTGAGAAAAAAGAAAAGTCACCAAGACAGAATTACAAATGACCAATCCACATGAAAAATAGTCAAGAAAATACAAATAAAACACTGAAACAGCATTTTCACCTACCAGATTAACGAAGATTAGAGATATCAGTAATGCCTAGTGGTGCTGAAGCTTTCTGCAGGTGAGAGTATAAACTTCCTGTGAGATTCCTCTGACAATATGTAGTAAGTATAAAATGTAAATAGTGGTTTTCATTACAACAATTTCACTTCTAAGAAGTTAGCCTAAGTAATAATTGCATACAATTATGCAGACTTGTATAAGGATAATAAACATCTGGAAACATTCTAAGTGCCCAATAGAGTACTGATGAGATAAATTATGGTTCAAACTTTTTAATGCAAGCATTATTAACATGAAGGATATGTTGATGAATGAAAGAAGCATATTACAAAACTACATGCATAGTTTGACTTCATTATGGGAAGAAGGAGAAAAAGGAGGAAGAGGAGGAGGAGGAGGAGGAGGAGGAGGAGGCAAGGGGGAAAAAGAAGAAGCAGAAGGAGGAGGAAAAAGCAGGAAGAAGAGAAAAGAAAGGAAGGAAGGAAGGGAGGGAATAGTTTGGATATATAGACCTGACTCTCCCAAGAACCAAAAGGGCTGTCCAAAGGTTAGCTCAAGGTCTATGAAATCCCAGCAATGAGAACTAGGCTTGCAGTCAGAAGATTTGGCTCACAATTCAAGTCACGTATCTGTCTGAATCCATTTTCCATTCTAAATCATGGTAAACAATAACCCCTAACATTCCCACCACACAGAACTGTTGTGAGAATGAAGTGAAAGACCACGTACAAACAGAAACTAAGGTGGAGATAAATAAAACTATGGGCCGCGCGCGCGCGCACACACACACACACACACACACACACACACAATCAGCCAGGGAACAATGAGCTCTGTATCTGGGCAGCCCCCACGCTGGGTTCCTAGTCTAGAAGGGAGCTCAAGACTGGATCTTAGTGCTCACCTCTCCACACTGTCCCAAGACAACAACAGGGAAGGTCCTTCCGTCCTCCATCCCCACCGTGGGACCCAGCTTTATGTCTGGCACTCATTACCCAACTCCCGGTGCCACCTGACCTGTCCTTCGATAGAAGGACCCACATTCTCCCAGGAAGACGAACTGTCAGTCTCCTGAGATGCCCTCCCCCCTTAACCAGGAATCCACTTAGGGGGAAAGAACAATATAGTGGTAAAGCTACCAGGCGACTTTAGAAAGCTGAAAGCTGTTAGGAGCGAACTGCAGAAAGATGGCACATCCTTCTCGCAAATGCTCAGCACCTGCTTCTGTTAAGGATTAACACTGAGGGACTCTGTTACAATTTGGAACATCTCTAGAGGAAGTAGCAAAGTCCATGCTTTTGCTATCTTAGTAGTCTTGCCTGAACAGTTTTCATATTTCTGCACTATACCCAAAAGTGCATTTTACTTAATAGTTATTTTAACTAGAATTTTTTATGCTAAGCAAGTGGGATTTCCCAATGACAATTATGCTAAGTTTCCATGCGGACAACCGTAGCTTGTTCAGAAGTTAATTCTAGAGCTGGAAATTAGGGAGGCTACGAAAACATTTGTTGTTTACATAACCAGTATTTAAAAAAAAAAGGAAGAGCCTGGCTGGCATGGCTCAGTGGTTGAGTGTCGACCTATGAGCCAGGAGGTCACGGTTCGATTCCCAGTCAGGGCACATGCCCAGGTTTCGGGCTCAATCCCAAGTGTGGGGCATGCAGGAGGCATGCTCATAATTTCTCTCTCTCTCTCTCCCTCCCTCCCTACCTCCTCCCTCCCTCCCTCTGCATCTGGGCAGCCCCTCCCCCTTTATCTCTGAAATTTAAAAAATTATTTTTAAAAAGGAAGAGAAGGAGAAGGAGGAGGAGGAGGAAAGGCTTAGATTCTCGCTTGGGGCAGAGGAAAATCCTTATTCATCAGCGATCCTACCTTATATAATCACAATAATGTGTAATGATTCCAATTTTCATTCAAGCTGTGAAAACAGTATGAGTTTGAATTGCTGCACATAAAATGAAGAGTAGAAAGCTGTCTGCATCAGTCTATTGAGAGCTCTACTCTATAATTCACCTGAGACAAGAGCAGGAATAGTTCTAAATGTGGATCCTAAGTTGTGGTCTGAGGTAGTACTTCAGAGGATGAAGGACAATTATTTCTAATACTGCCCCGAACTGGCAGGGGCCAGGGCTGACAGCTGGCACTGAACGCCCAAGTGTCGGGATATTACCTCCATCTCTCTGACTCCTCCCAAGGGCATGGATGCACCTGGGGCTGGAGCCCTCAGGGCGGAGCAACCTCATGGGCATTTTGCACCTGTTCCTATTGTCTGCTCATCTGCCTACAAGCCCAGGCTACTCAAATCTGTCCCTCACCAATAAGCCCAGGAAGCCAGTGGAGAACCCGCCAGCCCACCCTGTGGGCAAGGCTGTCCCTTTTCCTCAGGGCTGCAATGTTGCCCAATTCTAGGATCATGTTCTTACACGCCGCACCCGGAGGTTGTGCAATATAGCTGTCCTCCCTTTGTCTCCCCCACGCTTCTTATTCTCCAGGCCTGGAAAGGGAGGGAGGAGGAGAAACCACTGTTACTTAGGGAAATCACGAGTCTCTGCTTTTCTTCTCCGTTGGCTTCTTACTGAGCCTTGGAGTTACATGTCAGTCAGGGAGGAAAGTTAAATACACATTCACTTTGGAAGTCAAATCTGCACTCCACCTGTCAACGCAGCATCGTCACAGTAGGCCCAGGACGGCCTCCACCTAGTGCGTCATGGTTCATGATAGAGAGGCAGCCGTAGTTGCTGTAGGTAAAAGGGATGATCGAGTTACCCACATTGTTCCCCCTCCCCTGGAAACACATGGATTCTGGCCATGGGCTTGATATTGTTCCAGCCCAGTGTTACTATGTGAATCTAAAGGGGGGCAGAGAGCATTTTATGAGACCCTCATTAATAAAAATAATTAACCAACACTGCTATAAATATTCATATTCAAGAGAATGGTCTAAATTCACAGAATATTTTTCCTGAAACCAACACTTATGGCTTTTGAATACATAAGACTAATGGGACTGTATCAAACAGACATTGCAGGGAACATATACTTTCTAATTAGATGTCAATTAATTATAGGAAAAGGGCTGCTCTACAGTGTTTGACAAGTTGGCCTGGGTCAATGATTCAGCCAGGGAACAATGAGCTCTGTATCTGGGCAGCCCCCACGCTGGGTTCCTAGTCTAGAAGGGAGCTCAAGACTGGATCTTAGTGCTCACCTCTCCACACTGTCCCAAGACAACAACAGGGAAGGTCCTTCCGTCCTCCATCCCCACCGTGGGACCCAGCTTTATGTCTGGCACTCATTACCCAACTCCCGGTGCCACCTGACCTGTCCTTCGATAGAAGGACCCACATTCTCCCAGGAAGACGAACTGTCAGTCTCCTGAGATGCCCTCCCCCCTTAACCAGGAATCCACTTAGGGGGAAAGAACAATATAGTGGTAAAGCTACCAGGCGACTTTAGAAAGCTGAAAGCTGTTAGGAGCGAACTGCAGAAAGATGGCACATCCTTCTCGCAAATGCTCAGCACCTGCTTCTGTTAAGGATTAACACTGAGGGACTCTGTTACAATTTGGAACATCTCTAGAGGAAGTAGCAAAGTCCATGCTTTTGCTATCTTAGTAGTCTTGCCTGAACAGTTTTCATATTTCTGCACTATACCCAAAAGTGCATTTTACTTAATAGTTATTTTAACTAGAATTTTTTATGCTAAGCAAGTGGGATTTCCCAATGACAATTATGCTAAGTTTCCATGCGGACAACCGTAGCTTGTTCAGAAGTTAATTCTAGAGCTGGAAATTAGGGAGGCTACGAAAACATTTGTTGTTTACATAACCAGTATTTAAAAAAAAAAGGAAGAGCCTGGCTGGCATGGCTCAGTAGTTGAGTGTCGACCTATGAGCCAGGAGGTCACGGTTCAATTCCCAGTCAGGGCACATGCCCAGGTTTCGGGCTCAATCCCAAGTGTGGGGCATGCAGGAGGCATGCTCATAATTTCTCTCTCTCTCTCTCCCTCCCTCCCTACCTCCTCCCTCCCTCCCTCTGCATCTGGGCAGCCCCTCCCCCTTTATCTCTGAAATTTAAAAAATTATTTTTAAAAAGGAAGAGAAGGAGAAGGAGGAGGAGGAGGAAAGGCTTAGATTCTCGCTTGGGGCAGAGGAAAATCCTTATTCATCAGCGATCCTACCTTATATAATCACAATAATGTGTAATGATTCCAATTTTCATTCAAGCTGTGAAAACAGTATGAGTTTGAATTGCTGCACATAAAATGAAGAGTAGAAAGCTGTCTGCATCAGTCTATTGAGAGCTCTACTCTATAATTCACTTGAGACGAGAGCAGGAATAGTTCTAAATGTGGATCCTAAGTTGTGGTCTGAGGTAGTACTTCAGAGGATGAAGGACAATTATTTCTAATACTGCCCCGAACTGGCAGGGGCCAGGGCTGACAGCTGGCACTGAACGCCCAAGTGTCGGGATATTACCTCCATCTCTCTGACTCCTCCCAAGGGCATGGATGCACCTGGGGCTGGAGCCCTCAGGGCGGAGCAACCTCATGGGCATTTTGCACCTGTTCCTATTGTCTGCTCATCTGCCTACAAGCCCAGGCTACTCAAATCTGTCCCTCACCAATAAGCCCAGGAAGCCAGTGGAGAACCCGCCAGCCCACCCTGTGGGCAAGGCTGTCCCTTTTCCTCAGGGCTGCAATGTTGCCCAATTCTAGGATCATGTTCTTACACGCCGCACCCGGAGGTTGTGCAATATAGCTAGCTGTCCTCCCTTTGTCTCCCCCACGCTTCTTATTCTCCAGGCCTGGAAAGGGAGGGAGGAGGAGAAACCACTGTTACTTAGGGAAATCACGAGTCTCTGCTTTTCTTCTCCGTTGGCTTCTTACTGAGCCTTGGAGTTACATGTCAGTCAGGGAGGAAAGTTAAATACACATTCACTTTGGAAGTCAAATCTGCACTCCACCTGTCAACGCAGCATCGTCACAGTAGGCCCAGGACGGCCTCCACCTAGTGCGTCATGGTTCATGACAGAGAGGCAGCCTTAGTAGCTGTAGGTAAAAGGGATGATCAAGTTACCCACATTGTTCACCCTCCCCTGGAAACACATAGATTCTGGCCATGGGCTTGATATTGTTCCAGCCCAGTGTAACTATGTGAATCTAAAGGGGGGCAGAGAGCATTTTTATGAGACCCTCATTAATAAAAATAATTAACCAAGGCTGCTATAAATATTCATATTCAAGAGAATGGTCTAAATTCGCAGAATATTTTTCCTGAAACGAACACTTATGGCTTTTGAATGCATAAGACTAATGGGACTGAATCAAACAGACATTGCCGGGAACATACACTTTCTAATTAGATGTCAATTAATTATAGGAAAAGGGCTGCTCTACAGTGTTTGACAAGTTGGCCTGGGTCAATGATCTCTATCCTTTTCATGACCTTTTTCACAGTCAAATTTTAATCCAAACTTAAGTCCATCTCACCCAGTCGGTGTGGCTCAGTGGTTGAGCACTGACCTATGAACCAGGAAGTCACGGTTCAATTCCCAATCAGGGCACATGCCTGGGTTTCGGACTCGATCCCCAATGTGGGGCATGCAGGAGGCAGCCAGTCAATGATTTTCTCTCATCAGTGATGTTTTATTTCTCTCCCCCCTCCCTTCCTTTCTCTGAAATCAATGAAAATATATTTAAAACACACACACATACACACACGAACAAAAAAACTTAAGTCCATCTCATTGCTCATTGTAAAAGAATGGATTCCAAATTAATTAACAAAGATGCTATAAAAGAAGACACAGAGATCCTCCTGCATTCAATGTCTGGAGGAGCTGTCTCTCGGGCCTCACTCAGAGGAAGATGCAGGCCCAGCCCACGTGATCTGTAGCCCGTGGTCAATATTCCATCATATAGCAAGCGTCTCAAGTTCATAGACACCAAACTGGTCGTGCATGTAGCAGGGGAGACGTCAGCAATTCCTGAGTTTCCTCCTTTTGGGGGCTTCCATAGTTACCATCTTGAATCCAGGAATGGGGCCAAGCTGGGGATGGAGAACGTCCACAGGCCCCCACACACCTGGATGGAAGCCACGCACCTGGATGGAAGGTGCTCTGTGCAGACACCTGAGAAGCTGTCATAACATCTGCCGCAGCAGCAGTGTATCCGCCCCAGGTAGCACCCATCTGCAATCAAGACATGGAGGAGGAAAGAGAGTCCATTGGCACACTTTGGTTTTCCCATGGTGCATCCCTGTGAGCAGCCCAGGCACATTCATGAAGAGCTGCATGAGAGAGGAGCCACCACTCTGAGTGGCCAGGGCAGCCATCACTCTCCTGGCTCTTCCCCTGGGACAGGAGGGCATCCCCACCCCCCTAAGGCGCAGAGTTACTTATGCCTTTTGCCTGCTGAGTGTCCGTTGTGCCCAGGACAACCTCCACCCGTATCCCTTTGACCCTCTCAATCCCAGCCTCTTCATGACCCCAGCCCTATCCTCCCTCCGCTGCACTCATTTCTCAAAAACAGGCTCACATACCACACTGCTAAGAAGGAGAGGAACGCGAGCACCATC